AGAGTCCATGGACTCCAGGTCTACAGTCCATCGGACCAGACCACAGCAGGGTCGGTTCAAACAGCTCCATCGATCATCAAACAGAAACAAACAGAAAGGAGTTTGAAATACCAAGATAGGCAGGTCTGTGAGTCACAGCCCAGGGAAAACCACTCTGCCCCACCTTGAAGAAAACTCTGGGTATATCTGAACCACTGACGTCAAACCACAGCTGTCCTTTAATCAAAAGCTTCAACAAGTCTTTAAACTCGCAAATAAAACACACTCAGCTTGTAATCAGTGAACGAGCCAATCAGAACCCAGCTCTTTGATCTGAGAGCCAATCAGAACCCATGTTGTTACTGTCGCCACGTGTCTGACCGCCGCCACTGAAGCTTCCATTCAAACTTCAGACAGATCTGGGGAACCTCGTGTTCTCAGGCTGACGGTTTCTACAGAATTGTTTAATCTTTCATTCCGATGCAATTTAAAGCTGCAAAGACTGAGATCGCCTCCTGTTCATCAGTTCCTACAGCTTTCACTTAACTTCTGGATCATTTACTGAATAAAAACGCAGAATCAGTAAAAACTAATCAAACGTTGTCTTTAAAAGTAGATTCTTACAGTACCATACTATACCACTTTATAAAGCACTTAAAAACAGCAACAAGGCCGACCAAAGTGCTGAGGGTCCTCCCCCCAATTTTTTAAAATAAAGTAGATGCCATTCAGGTGTATTTTAACGGGTTGTCAAACACCATTTACCAACATCAGTAAACACTTGATTCAATAACTATTTTAGAGAGCAACAAGAAGAAGCCTGACCAACAGCTCTCCTTGTGTGAACAGAGCACGCTCCACTTCTCTCAAGCATCCTACCCCCACACCCACCCCGGTTGACAACTGCCAACACTAACTAGCGCTAAGCTAGCACGCAACAGAGTGGTGTCTCCCCCTCCTCCCCCTGCCCCGTCAACAAAAAACCCTCAGAGATGAGCACCCTGCCAAGCAGTGACCTCCAGGGAACAGTTGTTTTGTAACTGAGTTTGACATCTCTGTTTTAATGGAATCAAGCAGAATTTAACTATGAAAAGCAAAATCAAAAATAAAACCGCTTATTAGAGATATGTTGGGTTTTACACATTATTGACAGAAAAATGTATTTGATCCCCAACAACCCAGCCAGAATATCCTGATGCATGCTCAATAATCCAGGTAGAAAAATCTAAAAAAGTTAAATCTGGTCCTCTGGACATTAAAAAAAAACAAAAACAAAGCAAATCAACAAAAAAATGTAGAATGCTTTGTTTTTTGTTTTTTTTAAAGTCCAGAGGACCATATTTAACTTTTTTAGAAACCCAGCCAGAAGTTTGGCTCCCACTCATTGACTATGTACCATGTGGCCCACAGATAACTACTAACCAACCAATTAACCAGTTAACCAACCAACAAGTTGAAGACAGACAAAAAGATCGGCCAAAGGATGCAGCCAAATCACACACACACACACACACACACACACACACAGACACACACACACAGGTCCACAGAGTTCCAAAAGTGAACCTGAATAAACAGAACAAGTTTTTCAAAACACTTCACTTACCGGCTCATGATGTCACATGGATTATTTGTCTCTCTGCCTGCCTGTCTGTCTACCTGTCTGCCTGTCTGTCTGTCTGCCAGGTCTCCCTTGTAAATGAGTCCTCGTGGTTCAATGGGACTAACCTGTTTAAATAAAGGTTGAATGAAGTCTGTCTGCCTGCCTGTCTGTCTGCCTGTCTCTCAGTCTGTTTGCCTGTCTCTCTGCCTGTCTCTCTGTCTGTCTGTCTTTCTGCCTGCCTCTCTGTCTATCTGCCTGTCTCTATGTCTGCCTGCCTGTCTGTCTGTCTCTCTGTCTGTTTGCCTGTCTCTCTGTCTTTCTGCCTGTCTCTTTGTCTGCCTGCCTGTCTGTCTGCCTCTCTGTCTATCTGCGTGTCTCTCTGTCTGCCTGACTGTCTCTCTGTCTGTCTTTCTGCCTGTCTGTCTGTCTGTCAGCAGCTGAACTTTTCAGGGTTTGTCTTCAGATGAAACTCACTGATCAGCAGATGAAGGAGGAGTTCTGACCCGTGGGGTTCTGTTGGTTCTGGTTGGTTGTTTCTGCTCCTCTGTCTCTGTTCTGTCTGCCCCCCTCAGCCTTTGTGCAGACTTTTATCCCGAGGGACTGACTCCTCCCCATGTTCCTGTGTCCCCCCTCCTCCCCTGGACACATGGAGGAGTCTGAAGCGTAAATGTCTGTGAGATAAACGTCCTGAAAAAACGACTTGTTCTTCTTTTGGCAGAATTTGGAGGAAATAAATGACAGTAGATGTTTTTATTGTCACAACATGATTCAGTGAAAGAGATTAGGACTTAGGTCCAAGTCTCAGGCCCCAGGTATCAGGTTTCAGGTCTCAGGTCCCGGTCTCAGTTTGCTGACTTGAACCAAAAAGTAGACTTTTGGATAAATATTCATAAAACTTGGATAAATATGTAAAAAGTATTTCCAAATACAAACCGGATTCCAAAACAGTTGGGACACTAAACAAATTGTGAATAAAAACTGAATGCAATGATGTGGAGGTGCCAACATCTAATATTTTATTCAGAATAGAACACAAATCACAGATCAAAAGTTTAAACTGTGAGAATGAATCATTTTAAGGGAAAAATCTGTTGTTTCCAAATTTCATGGCGTCAACAAATCTCAAAAAAGTTGGGACAAGTCCATTTTTCCCACTGTGTGGCATCCCCCCTTCTTCTTCCAACACTCAACAGACGTCTGGGGACAGAGGAGACCAGTTTCTCCAGTTTAGAAATAGGAATGCTCTCCCATTCATGTCTAATACAGGCCTCTAACTGTTCAATCGTCTTGGGCCTTCTTTGTTGCACCTTCCTCTTTATGATGCGCCAAATGTTCTCTATAGGTGAAAGATCTGGACTGCAGGCTGGCCCTTTCAGTACCCGGATCCTTCTCCTACGTAGCCATGATGTTGTGATTGCTGCAGAATGTGGTCTGGCATTATTGTGTTGAAAAATGCAGGGTCTTCCCTGAAAGAGATGACGTCTAGATGGGAGCATATGTTGTTCTAGAACCTGAACATAGTTCTCTGCATTAATGGTGCCTTTCCAGACAAGCAAGCTGCCCATGCCACAAGCGCTCATGCAACCCCATACCATCAGTGATGCAGGATTCTGAACGGAGCGTTGATAACAACTTGGGCTATCCTTGTCCTCTCTGGTCCGGATGACATGGCGTCCCAGTGTTCCATAAAGAACTTCAAATCGTGACTCATCTGACCACAGAACAGTCTTCCATTTTGCCACACTCCATTTTAAATGACCCCTGGCCCAGTGCAAACGTCTGAGCTTGTGGAGCTTGCTTAGAAATGGCTTCCTCTTTGCACTGTAGAGTTTCAGCTGGCAACGGCAGATGGCACGGTGGATTGTGTTCACTGACAATGCTTTCTGGAAGTGTTCCTGAGCCCATTCTGTTATTTCCTTGACAGTGGCATTCCTGTTTGAGGTGCAGTGACGTTTAAGGGCTCGGAGATCACGAGCATCCAGTAGAGTTTTACGGCCTTGACCCTTACGCACAGCGATTGTTCCAGATTCTCTGAATCTTTTGATGATGTTATGCACAGTTGATGATGATAACTTAAAAGTCTTTGCTATTTTACACTGGGTAACACCATTCTGGTATTGTTGCACTATCTTTCTGCGCAACAATGGTGGAATTGGTGATCCTCTGACCATCTTGGCTTCTGAGAGACACTGACACTCTGAGAAGCTCTTTTTATACCCAATCATGTTGTCAATTGACCTAATTAGTGTTAATTGGTCTTCCAGCGGCAGCACGGTGGCGCAACTGGTAGAGCTGCTGCCTCTCAGCGAGCAGGTCCCTGGTTCAAACCCCGGTCCAGGGGCCTTTCTGGGTGGAGTTTGCATGTTCTCTCCGTGCATGCGTGGGTTTTCTCCGGGTGCTCCGGTTTCCTCCCACAGTCCAAAAACATGCATGTTAGGCTGATTGGTAACTCTAAATTGTCCCTAGGTGTGAGTGAGAGAGTGAATGGTTGTTTGTCTCGTTTGTCTCTATGTGGCCCTGTGATGGACTTGCGACCTGTCCAGGGTGTACCCCGCCCCTCGCACAGTGATTGCTGGACATGGGCACCAGCGACCCCCGTGACCCAAAAAATGGAATAAACGGGTAAAGATAATGGATGGATGGATGGTCTTCCATCTGTTTGTTATATGCTCAATTTCCTTTTTTCCAGCCACTTATTGCTACTTGTCCCAACTTTTTTGGATTTGTTGACACTGTGAAATTTTGAATCAACATATTTTTCCTTTAAAATGTTACATTTACTCAGATTAAACTTTTGATCTGTCATCTATGTTATATTACAAATAAAATATTGACATTTGCCATCTCCACATCATTGCATTCAGTTTTTATTCACAATTTGTTTAGTGTCCCAACTTTTTTGGAATCCGGTTTGTAAAATATTTCAGCTGATTTAATATTTGATAGAAAAGAACTAGACCTTTTTAAAGGAAAATAAAGTAGTTTCATCTAAACACAAGTTGATTAACATTATAGTGGCCCTTCAATCCTTCCATAAATCTGTTTAAGAACTGCCAGCAGGAAGATTTTTCAGAACTTCGTTAACTGAACTGAACCCTTTTTGAACAAGAGCTTCATATTTTGTTTCTAAGAATAGACTCAAATGAACTTGAGCACAAGAAAACAAAAAACAACGGACTCTTTGAAGACTAATGCTGCCACTCTCCCTGCAAACAGTTGAAGACAAACATTATTGTGTTGCGTTCTAAACAATATGGCCGAACCCCCAACTGGAGCTCGGAGTGTGATCACGAACTGTCAGTGACCACCACTCAGCCTGAGCTCCGTCGCTGTAGAATTCACTCAGTGTGTATAGCGGCCAACTTAAATCGAGGCGACTTTCAGAATGTATCAGTTGTAGGTGAACTCCCAGTTACTTTAATTCAATCCTTACAGTGGTTTACAAGATATTTTGCTAACAGACCATAGTTGATGGCAAAGTTGGAAAACAGACCATTAGGCTGTGGATGACTCTCAGTTGCTATCACACTATTAGCTCATTATCTGTAATGAGATAATGACCTAATGAGCTATAGCCATTTCTGTTTGCTGTGGCAGCCATCTTGAATCAGGATGACTTCTAACGTTTATCAATCGAAATTATATCAACTTTCTGAAAGTTTCATTAAAATCCATTCAATGGTTCACGACATATAGTAATAACACACACACACACCACCATCCCATTAACGTTTTTTACAGTTACTAATATGCGCATGCTCAAAGTCTGAATTTTCTGATGCATTGTGGTCTCCATATGTTCATGCCTACTTCCGTTTCTCTAATGTCTCCCGGACTTTTTGTTGTTTATGTTTGTTACTGACTGTGGCCTTCTTATCTCACGAAAACGATTAGAAAATATTTGTCAAGAAATTATAAATTACTATTTTGATGTTTCATCTTTGCGTTTGGATGGATGGATGGGAAGATACCGGAAGTAGCTATAAAAAAATTAAGTAGCATGCGCGTTGATATATATATATATATATATATATATATATATATATCAACATATGTGTATATAATGTTTATACAGACCTGCATGTGTTTATGTGGATGGACGTCCTTCTTCGCTCCGCAGCAGCAGATGGCGCTCTGGGCTGAACCACAACCAAATCATGACGTCAACCGGAAACAGCCTGACTTTTCCGACTTCTACACGTGTGAATGCATATTATTGAGTGGAGAGACCCTGCAGAACGTTTCGGAACCTTTTAGGAGACTTCGGAACCGAGTGGACCCGCCTCATTGTAAATCATGTTGGAGCAGTTTGGGCTGATCGGAACCCTCCTAGACGAGGACCAAAGTCCGGAGGAACCCGACACCGAGTCCGAACCGGAGGTGAGTTACCCCGGACCGGACTTCTGATCTGGGAGGACGAATATGTTGATTTATCTTTGTCAACAAACAAACTAACAGCTCTAAACTTCCTTTGTAATGGAGGCAGATGTTGTCAGGTCCGGACCTTTAACTGCCTGAGCCCACGAGGTTCTGGAGGTTCAGCAGGCTCCGAGTTTGATTTGTTTGAGATCCATGGTACCAGAACTCGAAATCTGCTCAGTTGAGCTGGGGGGAGGGATGGGGTACCTCGGTTTGGATCAGTCTGAGTTACTCGGAGTCTGTCACCATGGTAACAGGTCCGGTTCTGTTGGAGCTGAGTTTGAATTAAGCCCTGGTTTAATGTTCCACACTGGACTGTATGCTGCATGAACTCGGGTCCATCAGAGCCAGACTGGACCTTCAGGTTCAACATGTCTTATCTGGTCTGCTGGGGTTCCCCAAGGCTCCTCACTGGGACCCGTTTTGTTTAGTCTTTACCAAAACGATTTACCAAATGTTTCTTCAAGTGTTCAGTTATTTTTGTATTTAATCTGTTGGTTCAAACATTAAAATTTCAGTGTAGCACAGAAACGTTGAGGAGGATGCACCGTTTTCATAAATAAATAAATGAACGACTTAAACCTGCTCAGGTACGGTACCTCCAGGTCAGTCGCCATGGTAACAGCCCTGTGAAATAACCCACCTGCTCACGGCCAACTTATCCTCTCAGGATACCCATGTTTGTTTTTGTTTACCCATCATGTGTTGTTGTTTACCAGTGTTTATTCTTGTTTTTAAACCATTGATTGTTGTTTACTTGTTTACCTGGTGTAGGAGGGGCCAATTATCCTGAACAGGAAGAAGAAACTGGGCGGTCAAGGGTCAAGAGACTTTAACTGTGACTTTGAGTTTGGAGAGAGAGATGGACCGAACCAAGACCCCAACTGGCCAATGACCGAGGTCCTGCAGCAGCTCAAGAAGAAGGTAGAACCCAGCAGAACCTGCAGCGGAACGTTCCTACTGCAGCAGAACCTGCCCCAGATGTGTCCTCACCTCTGTTCTGTGTTCGCAGAAAATCGTCACAACGTTAGACCAGAAAATAGAGAAAATTAGGAAGAGGAGGAAAACTGAGGTGAGTTGCTGCTTTGACTCCACTTCCTGTTTGAGTTCACTTCCTGTTTGAGTTGTAGTTTTTGTTGATCTGCAGGAGAAATCATCTCAAAGTGCAGCAGCTGAAAGTTTATCAGGAACGGTGGAGGAGGAGGGGGAGGAGGAGGAGGACATAAAGCCTGTGACAGGAGATGAGGAGGAGGACGAAGAGGAGGAGGGAGGAGGAGAGGAGTTTGACTCAAGTGATGAAGAGGTTCTCACCAAATCAGGTAGAGTTTTTTATTTTGAGTTGTTTGTGGAAAGATGTGATTGAACTTAAACGTTGATGGAACATTTTGCATGTAAAGACTTCACTACTGGGAGAACCTTACAGAACATTTAAAGACTGTTCTAGAAAGATTCAGGGTTCCTTTGTATGGAAGTAGCGCTAAATTAATGGGTTGGGTTGAAGAACATTCAGGGAACTTTAAGAATGATTGAGGGAAAGTGTTTGTTTTTGCTGTAGGATCTTCAGGTTCTTCATCTTTGATAGATGTATGAAGGTTCTCTAAAGAACCTTATCGTAACAGAATTCAGGCAAAATTCACAAATTTGCTCATAACTTCAGAGTTTGAAAAACACTAAATCACGAGAACATTTATACAAATAAACTCGTTCAAACATTTCAGCTTCAACTAAATAATTACAAGAATAAACAAAAAAGTCCCAATTTTCTTCTTTTAGTTCAAATAAAGTCTGAAATGGTAAAACCTTCTGCTTCCTGTTTCCTGTTAGACACGCTGAGGGAGAAAGAGCGTCGAGGGAAGAAGAGGAGGGTGGAGGACGAGGTGAAGAAGAAGGATAGTGGAGAAAACTAATGTTTACTGCGTTACCATGGTAACATCTGTGTTTGTCCCCAGGTCCCTGAGACGTTCACTGAAGACGCGTCTCAGTACAACGATCAGCTGACCTTTGAAGACATGAACCTGTCCAGACCCATCCTGAAGGTAAAACAACTGAAGGAAGTTCTGCTGAGTCCAGATTTGATGGGTCAGCTGGTACCAGTCCGTCTTTATGCTTCATCAGTCCAGATGAAGCTGCCCACCTCCCGCACACACAGGAGCTTTCAGAACTGAAGCGGGCCGTGCAGAACCAAAAGAGACCTGGAGCAGAACTCAGCTGGGTTGATGTGGAGCTTCATCACATCAAATGTGTTTCGGACATTTTCCTCGTGCTGTTTTTAGACCAGAGTTCATTTAATTCTCTTTATTCAGTCCAGTTTATTTCTGTAGCGCCAACAGAAGTCGTCTCTGCTCAGAACAGAAACATTCACAGACATTATGAAAGACAGTTAGTAAAAGTTCTGTATCTCAGGAAGCAGCAGATTGTGTTGACTCTTCACTTCGTCACAGTCTCATCCTGAGCAAGAACAAAGGAGACGGTGGAAAGAAAAAACTCCCTTTGAACAGGAAGAAACCTCCAGCAGAACCAGACTCGGGACGAGCAGCCATCTGCTTCGACCGGCTGGGTTTGAGAGGACAGGAAGTAGAAACAGAGGGGACAGGATGTAGAAACAGAGGGGACAGGATGTAGAAAGAGAGGGGACAGGAAGTAGAAACAGAGAGGACAGGAAGTAGAAACAAGCGCAGAATGGAATGAGTTTTGGTAACTCGTTTCTAAACTAAACCCAAAGTTGCTGTGAGTCTTCATTGATCCTCTCAGTAACAAATGTGTTCTTTAATCCAGCTGCATCTCATCACTTCATCACATTACTGAGCCACTGCGCACCTTTTCACATGTCCACGTTTCGCCTCTGTTACTACCTCGCTCAGCGGTACAAAGGTGCACCGGAGGTGAGCTGTCTTTAACCCCCTTGCACCCTTGCTTCGTTCAGAAGGTGCACCGAGGCGAGCAGAAGGCTTCTCCGTCCTGGACTGACGTGTCTTATGAAGGCCTCGGTTCTTCCTACAGGCTCCACCCACTTGTTTATCTCTTTCACTTGTAGTCCTACCTCTGGCTCCTCCTCCTCCACCACAATAAATAGACTCCACCCATTCATTTTCACCATGGACTCCTTCCCTAATTCTTCCCATGCCTTGTTGGCTCCACCCCCTCAGCTCCTCAGCCTGACCTCGACCCAGAAAACCCGTGTTAATTCAGAACTTTGGTTCTGAGGTGAGTGTGTAGGAACGGCTCCGGCTCTCAGCAGGTTCCCCACTTTGAACCCGAGCTCTCTAGAACCGCTCACGGAGCAGTCCTGGGTCCATGTTCCCAGTCAACAGTTCCCAGCAGGTGTTTTCACTCATTTTGTTTCTGATGATGACTTCCTGTTTTTCATCTGCAGGCTATCACAGCTTTGGGCTTCAAGGAACCAACGCCGATCCAAAAGGCCTGCATTCCAGTCGGTCTTCTGGGCAGAGATCTTTGTGCTTGTGCTGCTACTGGAACAGGTACCACCGGCCCACCGGGACCGCTTCATTTAAACTGGTTCATGGAGTTTTACTCCATTTAAATGAGCACGATGGAGTCAGAAAGCTCAGGATCTGAGTCGTAACAGACGGTTTTATGGGTCCAACTGAAAGTACCTGAAGCAGTTTTTACATTTTACTTTTAAAAAAAATCGACTAACCAGGACCAGAAAACATAAACAGGGTTGTAGTTGGTGCTTGTGACTAACCGGGACCGGTTAAATGGGTTTGGGTTAAAGAAGCCAGGACCAGTTATGGTAACCAGATGATTGTCTCTCTTCAGGGAAGACTGCAGCCTTCATGTTGCCCGTGTTGGAGCGTTTGGTTTATAAACCCAGGACGGCCCAGGTGACCAGGGTGTTGGTGCTGGTTCCTACCAGAGAGCTGGGGATCCAGGTTCACACAGTGGCCCGTCAGCTGGCCCAGTTCACCTCCGTCACTACCTGCCTGGCTGTTGGTACAAGCTGCTTCTGGCTGGTCAGCAACTGTTTGGATCTGTGAGCGTGGTTCTGGTCCTCATCTGATCCGTTATGCTGTCTCCAGGTGGTTTGGACCTAAAGTCTCAGGAGGCGGCGCTGCGGGCCGGACCAGATGTTCTGATAGCTACACCTGGTCGGCTGATTGATCACCTTCACAACACTCCGAGCTTCGAGCTGAGCCACATTGAGATCCTGATCCTAGATGAAGCCGACAGGTGAGAAGTCGCACCTGCAGACAAACGGGTCATCGCAGTTCAAATACTCAAATGTTTGGTTCTGGTTCTGGTTCCTTCAGGATGTTGGACGAGTACTTCGAAGAACAGATGAAAGAGATCATCAGGTTGTGTTCCTACAACAGACAGACAATGCTGTTCTCCGCCACCATGTCAGAGGAGGTATGAACACTCACCTGGGTCATGTGACCTGTCAGCAGGTGTGTCAGCGGGTCATGTGACCTG